CTTCTTCATCTTCTTTGGGGGATGGGGAGCGGGATATATATATATATATATGACACACCGGCATGTAAACAGTAGGGGTTTCCAAAGGCATTGCCTAGCACGCTTACTAAATAAACTGGAACCAACTCCATGAATCCGTCCATGGCAGGAATCCCCCGTGTTTAGGTATTTCTTTTTGTGGGATAATTTAGCCCCTGCTGAATGTTGATTTCGCCAGCCCTCTAACCGCATACGGCATTCTTATGTTTTTTGTCTGGAAAAACAGTACGGACTCCTGGGCTGCGTCTTTTATTCAGTCAACATGATTCTGCCGCCGGCTGTCTTCTCACTGGTGCTGCTGGAGATGCGCACTAAAGCGCCGGGTGCCAAGACCTTTCCGCAGATCGTTCGAGGTCGTTTCGGAAATCTGGCCCACATCGTCACCACCGGCATGTTCCTCATCACCTCCTTCGCCAACGTCTTCGTCATTATCACCGGTGAGTTCCTGGACGCGGTGTGTGCTCAGCTCCTTTTGCAGAATCTAGGAAATTCTTACATGTAGAAAGCATTGCCTACGAAGACAAGGGAGACTGGAAGGACTATTAGCTGTCATCAGCCAGTCATACCTAACCTCAAGTGGTGCTCCACCCAAGGCTTGAACCCGCAACCTTTTTGATCGGAAGTCCAACGCTCTAACCACCGAGCCACCGGCTCGTTTTTCTGCTGGTTTAGAAAGAAAGATAGTGACGCTCGTTGATAAACTTTGATCGATCGCTAACAGGACTCACTTGTCTAGAGAATGAGCCCCAAGTCAGAGCGAGACGATTGAGTTCCGTGAGCGATCGGTTAATGTTAACTCAATAATAAGGAGGTCGATACATATTGCGACTATTACTGTGAGGATCAGTAAAAGAGCCTCTACGTGACAGAAAAAAACTTGAAGGTTTCCGGTTCCGAACTTGTAACACGTAGATGCCGATTCCAAATTCTGGTTGGACCTCCACTTCTCCCCCCCAAGTACTCATGTAGCACCTCGATGGCGGCTTGGAATGGCTAAAGTTAAAATGGATTCAGGCTGTTTATCGCGAGTGAATCCTTGCGTATGCGTGGAAATTTATCCGGATCAACAGTCAGAATATAGTGGTTACAGTTGATCATCCCACTCGCTAGAAAGTATGAGGTGTACTGACTTAATTTACAGGGCTATTTTCCGCATGCTAGATTTCACAGCAAAATAGTTGTGGTAACAATCAAATCATCAGAATGCATTTTTTTTAGTGAACTCGAGTGTATTTAAACTTTCCCCGCTGGAACAGCTTTGCGCTGCCGAATGCATCCTCTAACGCCAGCACCGGGAAACCAGATGGCCGAGCAGTCATGACGTTCAAGACCAACACGGGTGATGAAAGTTCAGCAGGTCACGTTCTGCATGCCAGCCATCAAGCTATTAGCGCACAAACGGACAACTATCTTTGATAAGGGGAGCCGCTAATTGTTATAGGCATGCAGAAGCTGAGCGACCGTATTCCATAAATACTGCAACTGCCTGCCTATGGATTACTCATTTCTGCTATTGTCTCTGCTGATGACTGAATCAAAATATAAGGTGAATAAACTTTCTGTCTCAGCGGTCAAAGCTGCTTCGGCAGGAGTTTCCTTGGTAGTGGTCTCGGATACAGCAAGCCGTAGGCTTTTG